AGGAATGAATAGGAGGCGTCCAAGTAATAACAAGAAACCCATCTTAGGATATGGGGAACCACAACAATCATTATAAGACTGTTCGCTCTTACTTGCCCGCGTGCCATTCAAAACGAGTTCCCCACACCCTCGATCCACGCCTTTGTTGTCTTCGATCACACCCCCTTTGGGGAGATTATTTCTCTTTGCGGGGGGGCGGCGGGCTTAGACAGGCGGGCAAACCTGAACGAGCGGACAATCCTTCGTGGGCGTACATGTGCCCGCCATTGGAATTGGTGTGGGCCCTGCAAAAAAAAGAGGGGGAGAACGAGGAAGAGTGGGAGGAAGGGCGGGGGAGGGACGAAGGAAGAGGGAAAACGCCAGGAAAGAAAAAACGAAAAGGGGTGCGGTTGATTAGAGGCAGAGAGAGGGAGAGAGAGAGAGAGAGGAAACAAAAATACATATAAGAGAGATGGAGAAAGAGAGAGAGAGAGGGAGGGGAGAGAAAGAGAAAGAGAGAGAGAGAGAGACAGAACGAGGGAGGGAGGAGGCAGGAAAGGGGAGGGAGAAGGGAGGAGGGAGAGGAGGGAGAGGGGATAGGGCACAGAGGCATAAGGATGAGGGAAGAGAGGAAGGAGGGAGAATGGAGGAGAGCAGGGAGGAGGGAGGAGGGAGAGGGAGGACGAGCAGGAAGATAAGAGCGTGAACGTTCGAGGAAATCCTACGCGAAAGCGCCGTTCCTGAAGGAACTCTCGGGCGGGAGCCCACGACGGGCGGGCGATCCCCTGACGGGCGGGCCAGGCGGGTGGGACAGTCAAGCGGGATGCCTGAGTATGGCGAGAGCGCGACTACTACGTAAATTGTAACGGCGTCCTTGGCGCAGCATGTTTCCTGAGCGTCGAAAGCGCGATTTCTCAATACATTGCATAGAAATCACCGGCGAGAGCGCAATTCCTAAATAACATGTGAAGGGTTCTCTGGCGGGAGCGGGGGTCTTGATTCGATTGCGAGGAAGTCTTGATTCAATTGCGAGGAATTCTCAAGCGGAAGCGCCGTTCCTGAGTAAATTGTGAGGAAGTCTCAGATGGGATCGGGGGTCCTGACTACATTGCGAAGGGGTCACAGGCGGGAGCACCGATCCTGAGTAAATTGTGAGGAAGTCTCAGGAGCGGGGGTCCTGATTAAATTTGGGGAACAGTTTCAAGCGGGAGCCGTTGTTGTTGCAATCCGGGGGTCCAGGGGCGCAGTTTGAGTACCCAACACTTTCCCTGTCCAAAAACAAGGTGCGAGCGTCGATGGGGCACACTTTGATAGGAAAAAACAACATGCACCGGTGAGGGGGATCAGCAGTAATTATTCTTCAGAAATGAGACTTCAGCAACAACAACAACAACAACAACGACAACGACAACGACAACGACAACACCAACAATAATTTTAAGACCGTTCGCCCTTATATGCTCGAGTGTCCAATAACGCGTGTTCTCAGACCCTCGATGCCCGCCCTTTTCGTCTTCGATCGAACCCCTTTTGGGGGGTATACCTTTCTTCCCTGCAGGCCGGGCCCCGGCAAGCGGCGGGGCGGCCTCGGACCGTCGGCCTGGCCAGCGGCAGCGCTGATCGGCGGGGCGGCCGCGGACCGTCGACCCGACCCCAAGAGGGACAGACAGGGGACCGACCACGACGACGACGATGACGACGACGACGACGACGAATACGACGGCGACGACGACGACGACGGCGGCGACGAGCGAAGGCGAGAGCGAGAGAGAACGACAGCACGGCCAAGAAGGGCACGAAGTAGGCCACGAAGGGCGACAGCGGGGACACGAAGGGAATGCGTATGGGGCCACGAAGAGCGCGAACGAGCGGGGGCTACGAAGTGCAGAGAATGCGGGGCCACAGAAGGCAACTATGGGGCCACTGAGGGTAGCAACTGGGCCACGTAGGACAGTGAGGGGGACACAAATGGCGACAGCGGGGCCACGAAGGGCATGCACATGGGCCACAACGGGCGCGACTCCTGGGTGCCTGGGTGTCGGGGGCGCGGCGCTTGGGCAAATTGCAAGAAAATCCAACGCAAGGCCATTCTTCCGTAAGTGGCAAGCAAGTCTCCAGCGAGAGCGCGACTCCAGAGCGCCAAGAAAGCGATTCCTGAATAAATTGTAAGGAAATCCCACGCGAGAGCGCGATTCCTGAATAAAATGTGACGAAGAAGTCTCGGGCGGGAGCGGGGGTCCTGGCTAAATTGCAAGGGAATCTCACGCGGGAGCCGTTGTTGTTGCAATCCGGGGGCCAGGGGCCCAGTTTGAGCAGGAAGACTTTCCCTGTCAAACAACAGGGTGCGAGCGTCGAAGAGCACACTTTGATTGAGAAAAAACAGTATGCACCGGTGGGGGGGATCAACAATAATTATTCTTCAGAAACGGGAATTCAACAACAACAACAACAACAACAACAACAACAACAACAACAACAACAACAATCATTTAAGACTGGGGACACTCCGTTCTCACCAGTGCCAGGGTTTTCATAGGAGGCGGGCAATACCCCCACTTTGTGGGGGGGCCGGTTCAAGCTCTACCAAATTTCCAAACGACTCTTCGCCACCACCCACACCCAGCTTCCCGCCCTATGACGTTCGGACACTTCACTTCGTGGCATGCGGACGACCGTGGCTACTATTCAGGGCCCCGCGGCCGACGACGACGGCGTGCGCGCGCGAAGAAAAAACGAATGTGTCCCGCATGGTATTATTTGACAGGGATGATGGCCCTGGCAGGTGCGCAACCGTTGTTGCAGAAGTTCGAAAAAGTTGCTCGCAAAAGCCCGTTTGACAGAAATGTTTAAAAAGTGTTGGGTTTCCTACGAATCCGCAAGAGCGCGCGGGATGAAATTTTGACATTTTTTTTTGAAAAACCATTGGTTTTTTGATGTTTTTATGTTAAAATCGCTACGAACACTAAGGTTTTGGAAGGATTTCGTCTTGCGCGCGCGAATGTCCACTTTACCTTATTTTTTGCAAGGGATTCTTGAAGTTTGGTTATGTTAGAACAAGAAATGTCAACTTTAGCTTATTTTTTGCAAGGGAAAGCCGACAACAAAACAACCGGATCCGGACCCCCCGTTTTGCCTGAGACTTCCTCACGAAAATGATGAAAATGAGGCTGCGGCCTAGGCGCGGCGGGGGGGGCGCGCACCAGGGGGCCCAACAATAATTATTCTTTAGAATTAATAATGTTCAACAACAACAACAGCAGCAGCAGCAGCAGCAGCAGCAGCAGCAACACCAACACCAACACCAACAACAACAGCAACAACAACAACAACAACGACGACGACGACGACGACAACAACAACAACACCAACAACAACAACAACCACAACCACAACCACAACAACAACCACAACCACAACCACAACCACAACAACCACAACCACAACCACAACAACAACAACAGCAGCAGCAACAACAACAACAACAATAACAACAACAACGACAACGACAACGACAACGACAACGACAAAGACAACGACAACGACAACGAAGACGACGACGACGACAACAGCAACAACGCAACACGCAGAATTCTCACCACGGATTCTCGCTTCAGCCACGCACCCAGGGACAATGAATGACAGTTCGGCCCCCTCACTCTGATAAAGAAAGGATCCAACGCGAGAGGATCTGCAGAGGCCTCCTAGATGGGGTCCGAGTAGATGGGGTCGGAGAACCGCGCCGCATCGGCGATACATCGGCCATGCAACGGCGATGCATCGGCGCTGCACCAGCGCTGCACCGGCGACGCCGGCGCTGCCTCGGCGACGTCGCCGTGGAAAAAAAATCGCGCTCCGCATCGCGCCGCACCGCCGATGCCTCGGCGATGCGGCGCGATCCTCCGACCCCGCCCACTCCGACGCCACCCCTAGGGGGCCCTGGCGTTGCCCCGGCCCGCCGCCGCGGCCGGCGCCGCGTCCGCCGGCGCCGCGCCCTCGCCGCCCTGCGCCGCGGCCGCGAGGCAGCGCTCTCGGTGTGCACCGGCCGCCTCCGCCCGGGCATGGCTCCCAGAGGGCCGAGGATGAGGAGGACCGAAGTCCAGGGAGGGCAGCTCGGTCCTCGGTCCTGGAAGCTCGACCGATCCCGTCCTCGTCCTCCCCCTCCTCCTCCTCCTCCTCCTTCTCCTCCTCCTCCTCCTCCTCCCTCTCCTCCTCCCCCTCCTCCTCCTGCTCGTCCTCCTCCTCCTCCCTGGACGGTTGATCTCCTCCTCCTCCTCCTCCGATCCTCCTCCGTCCAAGGATCGATGTTTTCAATCCTGTTTTTTTTTCTGGGTTTCGGCCTCCAAGACCCGTTTTCGAGCCAGGGGACCATCAAAAATGAATCCGGAAAGACAAAACACCCACACCCCTGCTCCGAGTTAACAACATTCGAAGCTTTCTGTTGTCCCCAGCGTACTTGAGGACCACATCCTAAAACAATTCGGGCACCCCGAGAAGTATCGTAACTGTGTTTGCCCAACACGCTGGCGAAGTGCCGAGCGAGTATCGCCGCCCCCAGCAGTTTCGATGCTTCCTGTCTTGGTGCTCGCACTTCTTTCTGGTGGTCAAGGCTAATGGAAGTTGGAACTTCCCAATCCAGGCTAAGGACAAGAACTTCACCCCAGACGCGTTCTTACACTGGTCCAGGTCCAGATCTGCGGACCCTCTACGAATCAACCCGAAAAGCCAAAGAAACGCTCAGGGACCAATCCAGATTCTCAACTGTCTTAAACGAAGTCTGAACTCCATGAAAACTGTCTTAAACTGTCTGAAACTGTCTTAAACTGTCTTAAACGAAATCCATGAAATCCATATTCTAAACTGTCTCGAACTGTCTTAAACGAAGTCTTAAACGAAGTCTGATGCGTTTCCTCCAGACTTCTGATGGGTGCTGCGAAACGCTGTTTTTCGTTGTCGCGTTGTGCTCGCGCTCCGTCGGTCTGCTTCAGCCCGCCTCTGCTGCAAAAAGCGAAGCCGAAGCGGAAGCGGCCCACGAGAGTGCCAAAACACCGTTTGGGTCGACCCCTGCCTCCGTCCACAGCCTGTCCAGCACGGCGTGGGCGGCCGTGGAGCCGTCGGCATTCTGGGCCTGCCAGGAGCAATCGGCACCGGCTCCGAAGATCGGGTCGCGTCGACAGTCCCAAAGATCCTGGCGTCTCAATTTTTTTTAGAGCCGGGCGTGTTCGTCAGGCTACGGGCCCTGGGATTCTCAACGATCGATCCAGCTCGAAGAACGGCGCAGAGAGATGCGGTCTAGGGCTCACGTCGTGATATGTTACGGTATTATTTTTTTCGCGCCGTCGGATCTCAGGATTTCTGTGGCAACTCATGGGGGCCTCCATCGTCAAAGTTATTGCTGGCCCTTGCGCATCGACGCCTGGTAGGCTCCCACGAGCTGCTGCCGAACGAAATGTGCATCGGATCGGGCTGCATCGGCAAGGAATCGAGACCGAAGCGGATCAGCTGCGCCTGGATGCACCACAGCGCCATGCGACCATCGGGCCGCAATGGATCGTCGGATTGAACAAATCGAATCGGATCGGTTCGGGTCGGGAGACATCGCCGTTGAACCGGAGCGATCGGATCGAGATTGACCCTGGCCTGGGCAGCCATGGATGGTTGCGTGATAACGAGCCCCATTCCCAAAGAGCATAACTACCAATGCTGGGAATGCAACTCCGAATCTCTGCCGCTCTATTGTTCCTTGTGAGCCGCGTCTACATCGCAGAGCGGCGTGGGGGGCTGGGAAGGGACGTGCCACTCCTTGACACACACCTCGTCCTGATGTGTGGCCGCCGCGATGACCGCGGAGACCCCCAACACCTACCCAGAGGCTTGGCAGAGGCGGAGGAGAGAAGGGTGCCAACTGTCCGTGGAGTCTGGGAGACACAAGGAGGAGGAGAGAAGGAGGAGGAGAAGGAGGAGGAGAGAAGGAGGAGGAGAAGAAGGAGGAGGAGGAGGAGGAGGAGGATGGCGGCGTCGGCGCTCTGGGCCTGCGTGATCAGCTCCAGGTCGCCCATGGCCTCCTCCATCGCGGCACGCTTGGGGCCGAAGTGCCTCTCGCCCGTCTCCGGGAAGCGGACGGTGGCGCGGTACCCCTTGCACTTGTGAGGGGTCAGAGGACCAAACAGCGGCACAAACATGAACTGTCGGATCGTGGATGCCATGACAATGGACACCCTGACAGTCCGATCATTGAATTCAGCATGTGTTGGACATGCTTGGACCATGTTCTAAACATGTTTTAAACGAGTGGTTTGCATGTTTAAGACATGCTCAACGCATGTTTAAGACATCTGGAAAGTCTTTGGCAACGTGGTTCCTCTCCACTGATCGTCGCCCACAACTTGAATGATTCCTTGATTCCATTGATCATCGTCGTCGTCCATGGACTCCTCTCCATTGACCGTCGCCCTCGAAAGTTTATGCTCGTGCCGCTTTTGTTCGCCCTCGAATGGTAGCACTGGCGGATGCCGATCGGGGTCTTGAACTTCAGGACCATCTTGGCGGGCCCGCCCCCCTCGCCCCCCTCGGCGGCGGCGGGCGCCCCGTGGGCGAGCCGCGCCGCCTTCCTCTGCGCCACGTCGGTCCGCGAGGGCGCCTGCGTGGGCGCCGCCCGGAAGAGCTCGCGGAGGTCAGGGGAACGAACACGTTGCACAGGCAGAAGAGCTCGGAGGTCCGCGCGGACTTCTTGGCTCCGCGCTGGGCCCCCGGAGCGCGCCAGGGAGGGGGCCCCAGCGCCGACCCGAGAAATCCGCGCGGACCATCGAGTTGCTCTGTTTATGTCGTTGTTCGCTCCCCGAGAGGTGGCGGAGGCTGGCTTGGTCGCCGCTCTCTCGCTGGACGGCGAGCACGGTCAGGTAGTCCTCACGCGCAGCCTCGGCCGTGTAGCGCAGCGGGCCGAGGTGGCGCTTCCCGCCGGGGATCAGCCGCACGCTTGCCCTGACGGCGCCCAGACAAACCCCCACAAGGCAGGTTCGTGCCGTGCCGACTTCATCGTCGTGTTGTTCCCATTGTACTGCCATCGGACTTAAGGACCACATCCCAGGAATCATTTCCAGCACCCAGAAAAGTATCGAAACAGTGTCGAACGATCGTCGCCTCCCGGGTCCCGACACGTGAAAACCCTCCATGTTCGGTGATTTCCTGGTGCTCGAAATACTTCCAGGCATGAAGGCTATATAAAGCAGGTTGGAACAAAATGACACCTAACACCATCGACCGGTTCTGGGTCGCCGGCAGCGTTCAGCTTAGCAAGGGGAAACCGGGCCCTGAGGGAAAGAAGTCCTGGACCCGTGGGGCCTTCCCCCAGGACCACATCGAGTAGGGGATCGACGACAGAATCGATGCACCCCAAAATTGGTTTCCTCGTCGAATCCAGGAAGAATATGCAGAAGCCTTCGTATATTCACGAGCAGTCTAGGTGTTCGTCATAGATTCGATGGGGAATCAAGTTTGCGGTAAATCAATCCTGTAGTTGATCCCCTGCTCGATCACTTCTTCATCCTGAGTCGCTTCCTGATCATCCCGGGGCCCGTGGAAGGCCCGGGGAGAGGCCCACGGCGGAGACACGTCTCAGGACCCGGTGCCCTCAGGACCCGTTTCCCCCACGGCTCGGGCTTGAAGGAACGCGGGGGGCGAACAGTGGAGGGGGGTGGGCGAACTGGCACCTCTCGTGCCCCTGTTGGGCCCCAGGGCGCCCGCCCCTTGCGGTCCCCTTGAGGGCACAACAGGTGCCCCCTTCCCCGCTCCTGCTGATTCATCACCCCCTCCCCCCCATCCTCCTCCACATGATCCTGCTCCCTCTCCTCCTCCTCCTCCTCCTCCTCCTCCTCCTCCTCCTCCTCCTCCTCCTCCTCCTCCTCCTCCTCCTCCTCTCCTCCTCCTCCCCCTCCCTCTCTCTCCTTCTCCTCCTCCTCTCCTCCTCCTCCTCCTCCTCCTCCTCCTCCCCCTCCTCCTCCTCCTCCTCCTCCTCCTCCTCCTCCTCCTCCTCCTCCTCCTCCTCCTCCTCTCCTCCTCCTCCTCCTCCTCCTCCCTCCTCCTCCTCCTCCTCCTCCCTCCTCTCCTCCTCCTCCTCCTCCTCCTCCTCCTCCTCCTCCTCCTCCTCCTCCTCCTCCTCCTCTCCCCCCTCCGCAGGGCCACGGTGTCGTATCCTGGCACCGTCGCTGCCTCAAGCGGAGGGCACACTGTCAGGGAACCGGCCCAAATAGGCGGAGACAAGCAGGCGGCCGTTGTTTTAAGTGGTGGAGGGTTCGACTCCCTCTCATCACGATTGTTTATTTCAGGTCAGGTGTGGCACTTGTTTGCCCTCCTGGGTCTGCGTAGCCGGCCCGCAGGATCAGGGTCGGCGCAGCGGGGTCCGCGGAATCAGGACCTGTGTCGTCTCCAGAGGCGAGGATTTCGATTCCTCGCAGCACCACGGGAGCGGCACACCGCCTCAAGGAAGGCGGCCGCGAGTGGGCCAGGCGACTTGCCCTTGTCCCGTTCCGTCGCACTTATTTGCCTAAGTACTCCCTTCGGGGATGCGACTTCCGTTGTCGCTCATGCACAGTTCCCACAGTTCCTCCTCCTCCTCTCCGAGTTTCTCCATCGGCGTCGGGGGGGCGGCACCCCCGCCTGCAGCCCCGCATCGACCCCCGTCGCGGGCAGCCACCGCGCGCCGAAGGCGCTCCGACCCCCGTCGCAGCGCGACGACGAGGCGAGGTTGACCCCCGTCGGGGGGGTACCCCCACGCTTGTTAAGAAACCCAGAGTATTTGGAGTCCCGAAACGGTGCGTGGCACACCGTGCGGTGACCTCGAAATCCCCCAAGACCTCACCGCACGGTCCGTGACCACGGTTTTGGGACCCTGGAGGCCCCTGTCGCCCGAGACGTCCCTGAAGAACGGCCCAAATACCAAAACCGTGCGGTGACCTCGAATCCCCACCGACTCACCGCACGGTGTGATCATCGCCCCGTTTAGGGACCCCCGAGAGCAGGTACTCCGATGCCGCTGCTCCCTGGACCTCTCCCACACGCGTTCCAACAAGGATATATCGAGGCGAACCCACGCGGTGGCGACGAGGGCCACCCAGGCCAGGCAACCCCAAAAAGGGACAAACGAAGGAATGGTGACGGTACGGAAACCTGTTCCTCCTCTGATGCACGACGGCCCAGACCACCGACGTTGTTATTTGTTCGCTTCCCGGGGGCCGGTTCTTCATCCCGAGTCGATGTTTGACGGCCCCGAGTCCTGGGAAGGGCCCCCGGAGGCCGAAAATAGGGAAAAACCTCCCGTCGTGATTTTCTCGAGCCTGTTTTTTTAGACTCTGGCAATGGTACTTGCATGGACGGGGGGGGGCCTGAACCTGAAGTAAGCCGCAAACGACTGGCACGTGCGGAAACCGCGCAAGTCGAAAGGCACTTGCTCGCCAGAGTTTGTCTGAAGAGGGGCGAGGAGGTGCGGGGGGGGTGTGGGTGGGGGGCGAACGCCATGCAAGTAAACTTGCCCGAGGCTAAAAGGAAAAGAAACAGGCTCCTCACGACGCGAGGAAGTGTGGGTTGGTCTGGGGACTTGTGGGATCCAAAACCCGGATAGCAAGGCGCCCGAAGGGCGCGGAAAGGCCTGGCGAAAAACTCGAAAGGACCTGGAGAGAGCTTCCGAAGGACCTCCTGGAGAGCTTCCGGGCACGCGCATTGGGAAGCTCAGAAAAGGCCTCTCGGGACAGGCTGCGAACTCGAGCAAGGCGCGCCGCGAGGTGGATCCTGCCGGAAGCCGGAACGACCTCCGGGGCTACCCTGCGGCTCCGGCTTCTAAATCTGAAACCCTGCTTATAGCTCTCTACGAGCTATCCGGGAACCTCACCCACCTCGGGCGACGACGGCTTCCAAGTGAGCAGGGACCGACCGTCCCGGCATTCCTATAGTCCTACCAGGAAATCTTCTTAGAACCCAAAAATGTTCTAAGAACAAAATCAGCCTTCTTAGAACATAAACCCGATGTGATAAAACAAGACAGCCCCAGCCAGGAATGTTCTAAGAACATGTCGTGGGAACCACATTTGGTAGAACTATAGGCACGCCAGGACGCATCGCCACGGCTCGATCCAGGGAGACTGGCCCGAGGCACGCAGCTCCGCGCGAGCTCTCTCTACAGAGGACCAGCGGTGTGCACCCACGCCTGCCCCCGCGGAGGGGCCGCCGGCGCCCCAGGGGCTCGGGGGCGTCCCAGTGGAGGGGGGCCTCCAGGAGGAGGAGGAGGAGAAGGAGAAGGAGGAGGAGGAGGAGGAGGAGATGAAGGGAGGAGGGAGGAGGAGGAGGAGGAGGAGGAGGAGGAGGAGGAGGAGGAGGAGGAGGAGGAGGGGAAGGAGGGGGAGGAGGAGGGAGGAGGAGGAGGAGGAGAAGGAGGGAGGAGGAGGAGGAGGAGGAGGAGGGGGAGGAGGAGGAGGCCTGTACATACAAAGTCCAGATGTTTTCCACACAGGGTCCCCAGAAGTGCCGACCCCCTCCCCCAGGCCGGCTTTTTCGTCCCGTGAGTCGTTTTTTTTGAAGGCCTCCCCGGGGGCCCGGGGCGAGGGCAGCCACCTGGGGGCCGAAGACAGCGAGCAAAAGACCGACCGTCGTGATATTTCCATGGCGCGGGCATGTCTTGGGGGAGGACTTTTCGAGAGGGGGATCGTCTACACACTTGATTTACCCCAAACTTGATCTCCTTGCCGAATATGCCAACACATGCACATGATGTTCGTAGGTCTACAAACATGATGCGCATGCTTCGTGCATATGTTCGAATGCTGTACAAACAATGCGCATGAGGACCGTGGATCCACCAACACGATGTATATACGCAGCGTCCCGCAGACTCTCGACGGCCACATGATCACTCCTGGGGTACACCAGCTCTACTGCCGACTCCCTGCTCGAACTTTCGCCCTGCATGGGCCTGAACCCTGGCCCGCCCTGGCGGCGCACCACGCCCACCGGCATCTTCTGCTGCCTGCGCCGCGACGCCGCGACGCCGCGCCCGCGCACGGTCGGCGCACGGGGCCGGCCGAGGCCACCGCCGCCCGGCCGCGCCAGCGTGCGGTCGGACCCAGGACTCAGGTCGGGCCTGTCCCCCTACAGGGGGTTTTTATGTGAAGAATTAAAAATAATCGTTAAACATCAAAAAAATGAGCAAATATAATCAACAATCGTCCCCAGACTATTTTTGCATATCACTCCTTTAGAGGGACAGGCCCCGATTTGACCCAAGACAGAAGAACGTCCTCCAAGAACATGGAGCCTGTTTCTTTTTAGGCACCGGCAAGTTGATTCTCATGGGCGGGTGGGGGGGACTTCAACCTGAAGGAAGCCGCAGATGACTTGCACGTGCGGAAGCCACGCAAGTCGAAAGGCACTTGCACGCCAGTGTTCGTCTGAAGAGGGGCGATGGGGTGGAGTTGGGTGGGGTGGAGGGGCGACCGCCATGCAAGTAAAACTTGCCCGAAATAAAACAAACAACAACAAACACGCTCATGGAGATTGTTTCTTGATTCAGTCAAATTTACTGGAATGGCGCTCGTTCCTCCCCCCTCGCCCCCCTTCAGACGAGCACTGCCGTGCAAGCGCCTTCCGACTTGCGTGAGCACCTGCAAGTCGGTTGCGGCTTGCTTCAGACTCAGCCCCCCCCGCCCATGCAAGTAAACTTGCTGGAACCTAAACAAACAAAGGCTCTCAGGAACGTGATGAGACCCTCCGCCAGGCCAAACTTAAGAACATTCGAGGGTGACCTTAGCCAGAATGCACCAAGAACATCCCGCAAGCACGGAGAACATTAGGGGATACGGCGCGGCGGACCGTGCGGCAGTGGCCTCTCCAACGTCCGGAGAAAAACCTCACCGCCGCACGGCGCGGCGCCGCACGATGCCGCGAGGACCCTGGGGTTAGGTCGGGCATGTCCTCCTGCAGTTGGATTTGCAGGAAAGATGAAAGATCGTCAAGCAAGACTCGAAACTACACAGGACATACTCGAAAATACTCGGAAAGACGGTCGAACGAATCGTCCCCAGGCCTTTTTTGTGTGTGGGTATCTTTGACTATCCTTCCTGTGGATGGGGATATGCCCGACTTAAACCCTGGGGGGGGGGGCCGCGTCGCCCGAGGCGTGCTCGGAGCACGAGCTGGGCCCCCATCCCGCTCCCAGAGGCCCCAGGCCCCCTCGGGTAGAGACAAGCTCACGACGGGAGGCGCTTTGCTATCTTCGGCTCTCCAGGGGCCCTCGCTTTGGGCCTCGGGGCCGGCAACAAAGTCACGACGGGCGGTTTCTCGCGATGTTCGGCTTCTGGGGGCCCTCGCCCGGCCTCGGGGGCGTGAAAAAACGATGCAAGATGGAACACTGGTCCCCAGGAAGGGGTCCAGACTTCTGGAGGTCAAGTCATGATAGAATCACGTCGTCGGGAGACTGGGGACCTGGGCCCCTTGCCCGTTCCCTGAGATCCGGGCGTCGGGCGTGAATTATGCTGGGGGGCGATGAGTGGGGAGGGGAAGAAGCGCGCACCTTTAGTGTCCCTTCAAGGTCCCTGCTTTCTAGGGCTCTAGGGCCCCTCTCAGGCACAGAAGGCGCATCTTTCCCCTTCCCCTCATGGATCGCTACTCGACGCCCGATAGCGTCTCGTTGTTTTCCGAGCCGGGCGTCTTCGTCAACTTCCGGGCGCTGGGACGGACCCCTACGGGCCGATCCAGCTCTCAAAGACTGGCGCAGAGGAGATGGGGCCTGGGGCTCCGGCCGTGATGCTCTGCGACGCTTCAATCTTTTCTCGCGCCATGAGGTCGCAGGTTTTGGTCGCACCGGATGTGCCCACTGGCTCGCCCGACGGTGTGGCCGCCGCGCGCCGTCAGGGGACTTCCGAAAGAGGGCGCCCATCGGCTACACGCAAGAGTGAGCCTCTAGGCAAGGGTGAGCCTTGGTGAACGGCCCAAGGCGGGGCCTCTTGGGGACACCACTGGGCGCGCGAGCCGCTGCTACCGCTTCGCGTTCAGCGATCGGGGAATCCCATTGATAATGGGCGTTATTAAGGGGGGGGGGCGGCGGGCGGGGGGGTTAATGCAACGCCTCCCCCCCCGCCGTGTGGCTCCAGCGCCGCAACCGCGCCCGCGCGCACGACGACGATGAGTGACGAGCGACGAACGACGAGCGACGACGACGACGACGACGCGAGCAGCATGTAGGAGGTGGCAACCTTCCCACAGCGCCTGTGTACACCGCAATGCTCGCGTGCACCACAGCGCGCACACAACAACAAACGTGTGCGACGCAGCGCCTGTGTACACCAGAGCGAATGTGCAACAGCGCAACAACCATGTGCAACACAGCGCATGGGTACACCACAATGCTTGCGTGCACCGCAGCGCCTGTGCACACCACAGCGACTACGTACACCGCCATGCCTGCGTACACCACTACGCGCGTGTACACCACAGTGCCTGCGTACACCGCGAAAGCCTTTTTTTGTGGGGGTGCAGCCCCAGGATGACGGCGGTGACCGACGCACCCTGCGCGGGCACAGCGCGCGAAATGCCCGCGGCCGAAGGCGGCGCGACGGGAGCGGGCGCCGCACCACAGTGGGCGCGGCGCTCTGCACGCGACACGCCTCTGGCACGAGGGCCGCGGCAGCTTCCAAGTATGTGGCGTCACCTGGGACGGCGCTACGCACCATCCGCCAGGCCGTGCCGCCCCCGACGCGGGGGCAGGCCACCGAAGCCACTCACTGGGGGAGGTGTGGGGCGTCGCCTGGGGCGGCGCAGCTCGCGCCACCCACCAGGCCGTGCCTCCCCCGAACGGGGGAAGACCACCGCATCCCCTCCCTCCAAGACAGGCGGCGCGGCTCAAGAGTCTCGAGAGTCCGAGCCCGCCGCCGTCGCAGTCGAAGCCTGCAGCTCCTTCTGCACCGCGTCCAGCAGGAGGCGGCGCAGGGCGGCAGGCCCGCGCCTGGGGGCAAAGCGATGCCCTTCCTCCGTAGCGCGTCTTGCATCTGGGCCTGCGAGCAGAGGTCGAGCATCTCGGCGAACCCGTCGAGGCCCGCCGCCAGCGCGCGCTGGCGAAGGCGGCCTCGCCGCCGCCGCCGCGCGGCGCAGCTCCGCCAGCTGCAGGCGCCCGAGGGGCAGCAGCAGCAGGCCCCGCCGCGCCGCCCACCAGGGCGTCGGCGAACGAGTCGTCCATCACCTCGTGCGACCCTCTCCAACGGCAGGCCTGTGGCGGCCGCAGGAGGAGCGGCGCCGCGGCCGCCGCCTCCGACGCCGCCGTCGGCCGCGCCCGCGGCCTGCTGGGCGGCGGGCCCGCGGCCCGCGTCCCCCGCCACACTGGCAGCCTCGGCCGCCGCTTCACCTCGGAGAAGCGCGCGTCAACCAGCGAGGCGCGCGCGGCGGCGACGACGCCGCTCACGCTGCGCCGCCGTCGCCTTCCGCTTCACCGCCCCGCCGTCGCCCGCGCCGCCGCAGCGGCCCGCGTCAGCACCTTCGGCCCCAGCAGCGGGCGGCGGCGCGGGCGGCGCGGCTCGCACACGCAGCGCGACCGCTGCCACCGCACCCGCCACCGCCGAGACCGTGCGCCGCGGCGCCTTGGCCTCCACGGCTGCACGGACGGCCGCCGCCACCAGGGCGGCGCCATCCTCCGCAGCCGTGTGGGCCCCTCTAGGCCGGCCGCCGCCATCACGAAGGCCTCCCGGAGGAGGCGAGGGAGGGGAGGCGCGGCCGTGCGAACGCTTGAGCCAAAATGGTTACGGACACCGCAGCAGCCGTGTGCGACGCAGCGCCTGTGTACACCAAAGTGCTTGCGTGCACCACAGCGCTGGTGTACACTACAGCGAATGTGTAACAGCGCAGCAACCATGTGCAACACAGCGCCTGTGTACATCACAGTGCTTGCGTGCACCTCAGCGCCTGTGCACTCCACAGCGTCTGTCTGCACCACAGCATCCGCGTGCACGCAGCGCTGGTGTACACCACAGTGCACAGGACAGGTAGAACGAGCATGTGGGTGAGGATGTGCCGGGGACAGCTAAACGCCACGCCAGAGAAGTGCTGATAATATAATGCGACGTGCTTCCCTCCTCCCTCCTCCGCTACCTGCACCTCCACCTCCACCTCCACCTCCACCTCCTCCTCCTCCTCCTCCTCCTCCTCCTCCTCCTCCTCCTCCTCCTCCTCCTCCTCCTCCTCCTCCTCCTATATGCAAATCCCCATGAGATTCCCGATGCGGACCAGGCTGCTATGCGGACTTGTATGCGGACGCCGATGGAGATCCGGATGCGCACGGCGGCAGTGCCCGGAGCGCACTGGGGGGGGGAGGGGCGTTACGTTATAGGGGGGAGGGAGGGCCGGGGGCTATAATAATGCCCATTATGCCCCTAAGCAAAAAAGAAACACGCTCCAGTTGCTCCACCTTTTTCGTTGCGTGGGCCCTGGAGGTCTGGACCACACTTCCACATGGCTGGCTTTTCGTCCTGAGTCGCTTTTTTGACGCTCCCGAGGCCCAGCGAGGGCCCACTGGAGGCCGAAAACTGCCCAAAGCCGCCCGCTCCAATTTTTTCGGAGCGTCGGCTCCCTGGTCGGCGGCGAGCGAGGGGTGGGAAATGAGAAGGAGAAGGCCTTCTCAGAAGGCGGCGGGACGGCTCAGAAGCCCTCGCGCCTTCTGCGGAGTGGCGTCTCTCTCTTCGGGGGAGGCTTAGGAAACTTCTCAGAAGGCTGGGGGGCTTCCGAAGCCTCTGAGAAGGTCTTCTCCTCCCCACTTCCCCTCCCCCTCGCTCGCCGCCGACCTGGGCAGAGGCGGGGGGGCCGAGGGGCAGCCTCAAAGGGAGCAGGGCCCCTGGGATGGGGGCGTCCGAGACGCCCAGGAGCAAACAAGGGGGGGGGGGGGCCTCGCGGCCTGCAGAGCCAGCGCTCCGACGCCATGAGCTCTTCTCAGAAGCGAGATGGGGCCCAGAGGGCACGCGAAGAACCAGACAGGTTAACCCCAAGGATTCCCGAACTTACATGTTTCCCATCTTTCCTGGGCTTTCGCCTCCCCCCCTTTCCACTTCCCATGCTTTCCCACACCTCCCGGGGGATCGACGATCATTTGTGTCTGTGTGTCCCTTCCCCGCCACGCGCTGGAGCGGACTGCCTCTGCCTCGCCGCCGACGGAACAAGTGTTTCTTCCCCTCGTGAATAACGTCGACCGCCACAGGTCTCGACCTATTCTCCAGGACCGCCTTTTCGTCCTGAGCCGTATTTGGACGGTCCCGAGGCCCCGAACAAATCACAATCGAGAAAAACTCTCCGTCGTGATGTTTTCATGGCTCGAAGGGGGCTGGGCCCGGACTTGGTACAAATGTGGACCGGATTTGGGCCAGATTTGGAGTGGATTCACGGGGACTAGAAGAACGAGGAGGGGAAGGGGGAACAGGAGGGGAGAGGAGGAGCATGAGGATGGGTCAAATGCGGTCCCTACGCGGCCCAAATGCTGGAAAGGCCGACTTCAGCGTCGCCGCCGAAGGCTCCCATGAACAGGCATCGAACCCTTCACTGGGTTTTGGGGGGGCCGCCGGGGCGCCCGAGCGGTGTTTGTTCGCGCGGAGAATATAAATGCCCGCCAAGCGCATCTACATCAACGGCAATCGTACCGAGCAACATATAGTGCTGATACAAAATGAGAAAGAGATGAAAGCCTAATGAGATGACTCTCGCGACCCCGAACAGCACCTCAGACAGCACCTCAGACAGCACCTCAGACAGCGTACTGTGTTCGTAGTTTTTTCGTGCTATGTTTGTTTTCGTGTTGTTTTCGCTTTCGTTTTGCGATGTTCGTTTTCGTGTTGTATTCGTTTTCGTTCGTTCTGCCACCGATCTGCAACACGAAGTCGCAACGAACATAGCCCACGGAGCTGCACAAAACACCGTTTCAGTTTAGTTCGAGGCATGCCCCAAACGATGGGCCCTGGAGCCTCAAGGGGACCTGCCCCTTCTCAGGGGCCTCTAGGAATCCTGACCTCCTCTCGCCGAGAAGAATAAGACGAAGCCAGGACGACGATAACATCGGGTGAGGATAGATCGAGAATCTCTGAGGTCTGGCGGCTCTGGAGGACGTCTCGGGCGCCGCGGCCTTCTCAGAGCGTTCCGGCACGCTCTGAGAGCGCTCCGGAACGCTCTGGAACGGATTTACCCTCGGCCCAGCCCCGTCTGCCGAAAGGAATACAAAAGCAGGCCTTGGCTGATGTTGCTCCCGTCGTGCTTGAGGACCACATCCCAGAAATACTTTCGAGCACCCAGAAAAGTATCGAATCAGGGTCGAACGAGTATCGCCTCCCAGGGCCCGACGCGTGACAACCCTCCAGTTTCAGTATTTTCTTGGTGCTCGACATTCTTTCTGTTGATCCAGGCTCAATTGCACGGCTTCCCCCCGAGCCGTAGGAAACCCGAGGAGGAGGAGGAGGAGGAGGAGGAGGAGGAGGAGGTGGAGGGGAAGGGAGAGGAGGAGATGGAGGGAGGAGGAGGAGGAGGGAGGAGGAGGAGGAGGAGGAGGAGGAGGAGGAGGAGGAGGAGGAGGAGGAGAGGAGGGAGGAGGAGGAGGAGGAGGAGGAGGAGGAGGAGGAGGAGGGAGGAGGAGGAGGAGAGGAGGAGGAGGAGGAGGAGGAGGAGGAAGGAGGGAGGAGAGGAGGAGGGGAGGAGAGGGAAGAGGAGAGGAGGGAGGAGGAGGAGGAGGAGGAGAAGGAGGAGGAGGAGGGGTCGCCCAAGCCCTTCGGAGAAACCCTCGAGGCTAAAGTAGCTTGGAACCTGACAAGTCTTGGCAATTCTCGGCCCCAAGGGCCGCCCCCTCAGCCCCGCGACCATCCAACGGTCAGGTTAGGTCGGGCATGTCCCCCTGCAGGCGGACTTTCGACGACAAATAAAAAACAGTGTCCCCATAGGTGGCTATTTTTGCATACACCTCCTGCAGAAGGACAGGCCCGACTGAGCGGCCGCGTTCCCATCGGAAGTGGTCGAAACCTCCGGGGGGTCCACGTTGTCCAACACAGACGCATGACCGCATGGCAGCGGTGGCCGCAGACGCCCGACGACACGCCTGCTTTCCACGCGCCGCCCCAGGAAGTCACGGCCGCTTCCCCGCGGGTGCCTCGCTCGCCCCGCATCAGCGTTTGCTCCGGGGCCCGATCGCTGGCGGGCCCCGTGGGGCCGGCATCGACGAAAAGCGCCCGGACTGAAGCGAGCTGATCGTCGGAGATCTGGGATCTGGGAGGGCCTCTCAATAGGAAGCTGCCGGGCTTCCGACAGACGCGGTGCCTTCTGAGGAGGGTCGGCCCCCGTCGGTGTGCCCTCGACCCAGGCTGCGCTCCCTGCCACCCCGCCCTCCCCGAGCCCACCCTGGCCCGTTTCCCCTTGCCGCGTCCCAGCCGCGGTGACGAGGGGGGCCCCCGAAGGCCAGGAGTGTATAGCCCCGCCCCCCCCCCCGCACCCCCAGACCAGCTTCTGCTTGCAGCGGAGGGGCTGGAGGTCTCGAGTCTCGACACTTCCCCGGGGCGGGCCCCCTGTTCTCATCGTCCCAGGGCCCGGGATGAGAAACCGAAAGGAGGCGCACACAAATCGCCGGCCCTGTTGCTGGCGGCGTGCACCAGGGGGGAGGGGGAGGGGTGGAGGCGTCTTACAAGGAGGCTGCTCCTTAGAAGGCGCGCTTTCAAAGAAACAGCCTTCTTTCAAGAAGCCTTCCCGGGCTCCGCGCGCGTCCTGGTGGCACGCGCGGCGCACATCCTGGCGGTGCCATGGACCCTTCTTGCGATGCAGCTGTACTCGGTGTCGCGCCAGATTGGCGAAGGAAAACGGTCTTGCACGAGATGGCATGGCTAGCTTACGCGGTTGCTTACGCGTGCAGCCGCCGCGGCACGCTGATTGGAGACGAGGGCGCTTAAAGTGCAACCTTACGCGGGCAGCTGAACTACGCGCCAATGTCGACGCAAACGGCCCCGTTTTTTCGGCCTCGCTCAGATGGGTGACAGCCGTGAACGACGGCTCCCTCCCATCCCCGTCTCGCAACGCTGCTCCACTTGGTTCCGCGCCAGACTGGCGACGGCCGTGAACGACGACTCCCTCCCATCCCCTCCTCGCGATGCTGCTCTACTTGGTTCCGCGTCAGATGGGCGACGGCCGTGAACGCCGACTTCCGCCCATGCGCCAGCTTCGGGCGCGCAGGGCACCTGCACGCTGTTTTTGTCGCACGTCCTGGCCAGGGCGCACTCTGACAGGCGCGGCGCACAACAGGGCGTCCTGATCTCCTCTTACCTCTTGCAATGACGGTCAAATGCGTGTCGCCTGTGGACGTCGGCTCCGGTCCGTCTTCCTGTTTCGGGCGCGAAGGACGCTTGGTCTCGGTGTTCAGCGTGCCATGTTCCCTGCGCCCAACTCTTATCAGCAACCTAAGCACGCCTTCGTCACCAGAAATTCTGGCACCCGGGGGGAGGGGCCTGGCCTAGCTAGCGACCGTTACGCGCCAGACGGCAAAGAACCGTCTCTCCTCCTTAAGACAGCGCTGTGTGCGCGTGCGCGTGCGCGTGCGCGTGCGCGTGCGTGAGCGTTTGGACGCCCGAGTTATCCAGGGTAACTCGGGTCCGGGGTAACTCGGGTTTGGGTTCCCGAAAAACGAACCCGAAGTAACCCTGACCCGAGTTACCCCTGATGATTCGGGGCTCTGGACGCCCGAAACATCCGGGGTAACTCGGGTCCGGGATAACTCGGGTTCGGAATCCCGAAAAGCGAACCCGAGTTAGCCCTGACCCGAGTCACCCCTGATGATTCGGGGCTCTGAAGCGTGCGTGAGCGTGTGCGCGTGCGTGTGCGACTGTAGGACCCGCTTCGCCCCCTCTCCGCGAGGCCGCCGGCCTGCGCCTGCGCTCGGCCTTCTCGGGCGTGGCCCCCGCGGCCGCGTCCGAGCCCGGCGGCGGCGGCGGCTGGCCGCTGGCACCAGCGGGGCCGGCTGCTGCTGACAGCATCTCCTGGTGGCGGGGAAACCTGACCGGACAAGAACGGGAAGCGTCCTCTTGTCCCCTGGGCTTATGAGATATCCCACGTTTTTAGTACGGCATACCACAGCAGTGCCACGTACCACTGCCGTGCTTCTTTGGGGTCTGCCGTGCTCCTGTGGAGTTTGCCGTGCGAACGTGTGGTCTGCCGTGCTCCTGTGGCGTCTGCCGTGCTCATGTGTGGTCTGCCGTGCTCCTGTGTGGTCTGCCGTGCTCCTGTGGTCTGCCGTGCTCATTCGGGGTTTCCCGCCAGCTTGAGTGGTCTGCCGTGCTCCTGTGGGGGAAACGCCAGCGGCGTTCGGGGTACAACCAAAGGCGCGTTTATGTTGTACCTGCGCGCGGTCTGCCGTGCTCCTGTGGGGATTGCCGTGCTCCTGTGTGGTCTGCCGTGCTCCTGTGTGGTTTGCCGTGCTTCTGTGGTCTGCCGTGCTCCTTTGTGGTTTGCCGTGCTCCTGTGGGGTCTGCCGTGCTCCTGTGGGGTCTTCCGTGCTCCTGTGAGGTCTGCGGTGCTCTTGTGTGGTCTGCAGTGCTTCTGTGTCTGCCGTGCTCATTTGGGATCTGCCGTGCGCGTGTGGTGTCTGCCCTGCTCCTGCGGGATCTACTGTACTCCTTGTGTCGTCTCTTTGGTCTGCCGTGCTCGTGTGGTGTCTGCCGTGCTCCTGTGTGGTCTGCCGTGCTCCTGTAGGGGCAAACCAGCAACACGTGAAGAAGTTATCCTGACGGGGCAAACCAGCAACACGTCAAAGGTTATCATGAGGGGGGCAAACGAGCAACACGCCAAGAAGGTGCTGAGGTGGTCGACCACCAACACTTCAATAAGTTACCCTGAGGCAAAACCAGCCACTCGCCAAGAAGTCATCCTGAGGGGGCAAACCAGCAACACGTCAAGAAGGTGCTGAGGGGACAAACCAGCAACACGTCAAGAAGGTATCCTGGGGGGGGCAAACCAGCAACACGTCAATGCGGTATCCCGAGGGGACCAAACCAGCAACACCACTGCCGTGCTCCTGTGTGGACTGCCGTGCTCCTGTGGGGTTTGCCGTGATCCTGTGTGGTCTGCCGTGCTCCTGTGCGGTCTGCCGTGCTCTTGCGGGGTTTGCCGTGCTCCTGTCGGCTCTGCCGTGCTCGTTTTGGGTCTGCCGTGTTCCTGTTGGGTCTGCCGTGCTCTTGTGTGGTCTTCCGTGCTCCTGTGTGGTCTGCCGTGCTCCTTTGGGGTCTGCCGTATTCGTGTGGGGTCTGCCGGGCTCCTGTGTGGTCTGCCGTGTTCCCTTTGTGGTCTGCCGTGCTCCTGTGGAGTCTGCCGTGCTCCTGGGTGGTCTGCCGTGCTCCTTTTTTTCCTCAAATCGTGCTCCTGCTCATTTTCTGAGGACGTCCCGAGCGAAAACGTCATTTTGAACATAAGAGGTTGTGAAAAAAACCTCTGTCGGCATCTCATTTTTTCGAGGATGTCTTGGTCTGCCGTGTTCCCTTTGTGGTCTGCCGTGCTCCTGTGGAGTCTGCCGTGCTCCTGGGTGGTCTGCCGTGCTCCTTGTTTTCCTCAAATCGTGCTCCTGCTCATTTTCTGAGGACGTCCCGAGCGAAAACGTCATTTTTAACATAAGAGGTTGTAAAACACCTCTGTCGGCATCTCATTTTTTCGAGGATGTCTCGAGCGAAACGCTCATTTTTCATCAGAACCAAAATTTTCAATATTTTGCAACATCCCGTTTTTTTGAGGATGTCTCGAGCGAAACCGTCATTTTTAACATAAAACGTTTGAAACGATAGCCTCGAACATCTCGATTTTTCGAGGATGTCTCGAGCGAAATGGCCATTTTGGGGAATCCGCCAACGAAAAATACCGTGCAATCCCGCAACCCAGAGATATAAAGATATATGTATATTTACTCAAGGATTCAGCCAGAACGTCCCGCTTGCTTCTCGTACCTCGAAGACGCTTCCCGTCATCCGCCAGGATCAACATGAAGGGGCCCTGGGACACACAAATACATACACACAAATAAAAATATGTTCCATACTTTCCCCTATGTTCATGTTTTTTTGTCTTCCCGCCCAATTCCCATATTTTCCCATATTTTCTGGGAAATCGCCGATGAATTGTGTCTGTGTGTTTCTTTCCCTCCTGAACAAAAACTTGTTATGTTCCCCATCCTGTGGTGTTGGGTCCTCGTTCTGAAGAGACGGCGCTCCGCGTGTTCCTCCCGCATCCCCCCATTCCTCCCCCCGCCCTCCTCCTCTCATCATCAGCATCGTCACCCTCGTTTCGGCAAACCACTCATACGTTTCGTGCCCCCCCAGAAGAAGTTCCACCTAAGGCCACAATGGCGCAGCCCTCATGTGGGCGACACCTCCGTTGCGGCACACCCCTCACACGTTTCGTGGCCCCACAGGGAGCTCCACGTAAGGCCCCAGCGGCGCAGCCAGAATGCGTCCTCCACACCAATGTCGGCACACCCCTCACACCACACGCTTCGTGGCCCCAGCGGGAGCTCCACCGAAGGCCCCAGTGCAACTGCCCGCATTTCGGCATACCCCTCACACGCTTCGTGGCCCCATAGGGAGCTCCTCCGAAGACCCCAGTGCCATCGCCCGCATGCCCACCTCCCGCTCATTCCGGCACGCCCCTCACACGTTTCGTGGCCCGCTAGGAAGCTCCACCGAAGACAGTATTTACAACTGCGGATCTCACAGCTGCGTATGGTTGGGTCCGTCGCCAGGCGAATTGTAGATTCAGGCAAGTTTGCTTGCGCGGCGGTCGCTCCCCCCTTCGCCTCGCCCCTCTTCAAACGAATACTAGCGTGCAAGTGCCTTTCGACTTGCGTGATTCTCGCACATGCAAATCGTTTGCGGCTTGCTCCAGGTTCAAGCCCCCCTTCCCCCGTCCATGCATGTAAACTTGCCGGAGTCGGAAAAACATGCTTACATCAACGGGGACCGAGGAACACTGAGCCTGACTGACTGCTGTTCTTTTTGCTGGTAGCGCCTTGAGCGCTGACCCACTTCAGGAGGAGCGGGTGCCTGATGTGGGCTGGAAGATGGCTTGCTCTGGGCTTCAGTCCTCATCGCTTTCGCCACCTCTCCCGCCACCCGCGGCCGCCAGAGATGGAGACTCGACCAATGTGGCCAGCTGAAGTTCGGCTTCTGCCGGCAGGAGGGAGGCACGAAGGAGGTTTGATCTTTAGCCCGTCTGGCCGCCTGGGGGGAGCTTCCGGGCAAGAGGTCCTGCACCCGGAACCAAGAACTGTCTCTCTTCCCCGCGCTCGTTGCACCCGGTATCAAATGCTCAGGTTCTGGACGAGCCGCCAAGCGGGTGTTTTGGACAGGCATTCTCTTGTGGCAATGACGCTCCCCAAGCCGACACTGACATGCTTCGTGGGAAGACGCACCGAACAGAGCCTCATCCTCTTTATTCCTTCTGGCTCCTGGTTCCTGGTGGTTGGAAGATCCCGCGGATGTAGCCCTTGGCCCCCCAGGGCCTGTCGGCCTTGGGGAGGGTGCTCAAGCTAGTAGCCTGGCGACTTCAATCGCTGGCTCGGATACATGTAGGGGTAGACAGTGAAAGGCGACAGCACACAAGAGAGGGAGCAAGAGGGGAAGAGGGGGAAGATAAACCACTAACATAAACATAACCTCAGGGAGAAGGATACTTCCTTCTCCTCCTCCTCCTCCTCCTCAGTATCCCTTTTCCTTCCCTTCCACAGTCATCCATCTTTCCCTCCTGCTGCTGCCCCTGCTCCTGATCCTCGTCCTGCTCCTCCTGCTCCTCCCCACCCCTCATCAGCTGAGAACAGAAATCAAACGATGTTTCAATTTCTGCCGCCTCTCGCCTCCTTTCTTCCTGCTACCTCCTCCTCCCTGTTCGTCCTCCTCCTCCACCACCATGACTAATCCTTGACTTACGTACGACCCCATTCGCGCCACATATAATCATCCGACCCTGTACGCTGGGCAACTCTACAGGCGAGAGTCAAGCATTTCCTGATGGGGGCTCAGCCTCGTGAGTGACATCCCTCGTCCCTCCTCCTCCTCCTCCTCCTCCTCCTCCTCCTCCTCCTCCTCCTCTTGTTGCTTCTCTTCATGCGCCTCCTCCCCCCCCGCAACGTGGAGGCTGGCCAAAATGGGGACGCAACACAAGGGGTCGAACGATCACACCGCACCGCCGATGCATAGTCGTTGCACTGGCGACGTCGTGACGCAGAAACCAAACCTCAGGTCGGGCATGCCCTCCTGCAGGCGGGTTTTGGAAGAGAAATAGAACAGAGTCAAACAAGATTCAAAATAGTCAAGCAATAACCGAACAATCGTCACCATACTATTTGTTACCATTCTTGCGTATTCCTCCTGTAGAAGGAAACGCCCGACTGGAGAACCAGACTCTGGATCGCGCCGAATCGCCGATGCACCTGCGATGCGGCGCGAGCCTCCTCCCCCAGCTGCTGCGAGTCCCATGTGGGAGGCCTGGACGACGACGTCGACCTCGACGACGATGACGACCACGGCCACGACCACGACAACGGCGGCGACGACGGAGGCCGCGACGACGACCTCGACGACGACGACGACGACAACGACGTCGACGTCGACGACGACGATGACGACGACGACGACGACCACGACAACCACGACCATGACCACGACCCAAACCTCTGACATCGTGTCTGTTCTTGCATCGCGGCCCCCCGAAAATCCCTGGCTCATTCCCCGGGACTGGCTCCACATCCCGCGCGAGGCTTTCTGTTGATGGCCTCGGGGCCTGGTGAGGCCACCCGCAGGCCGACAACAGAAAGAAACAGTCCATCGTGATTTAGTCTCAGGTCGGGCGTGTACCCCCCCACGGGCGGATTTCGGAGGAAAGCAACACAAGTCAAGACAGATTCAAAACGACTCAAGAATGGTCGAACAATCGTGCCCAGACTATTTTGGGGCTATTTTTGCACACTCCTCCTGTAGAGAGGGACACGCCCGACTCTGCATTTCGTCTCGACGCGGAGAGATTTGGCCCTCGGGCCACGGCTCGGGCCTCCGTCGGCCGCTCTGGGGACGACCCGCGGGCACTCCCAGGGAACGCCCTCGGCGCGGCGCGGCTGCTGGCAAGCAGTCCGAGGTGACCCCAAAGGGACCCCGAAAGGACCCCCGAGGGGTCCCCAAAGGACCCCAAAGGGGCTCCGAAAGGACCCCAAAGGGGCCCCAAAAGGACCCCAAAGGGGCCCCGAAAGGACCCCAAAGGAGCCCCGAAAGGACCCCAAAAGGGGGCCCGAAAGGACTCCAAAGGAGCCCCCAAAAGGACCACACCTGAAGCCACGACGCGAGGATGTCCAGGCACGTGCGCCCCTCGGCAGCACGCAGGAGTGATCCTATGTAGGGAAGAGTGGTCTCCGGTGCGCGGCCTCTGGGGGCGCGGCCGGCGTGGCCAAGCCAGAGCGCGCAACCCACTGCCGTCGCACTGCTTTCCGGGATCGAGGCGCCCGAGTGGGCCCGCACCATAAGTCACTCCAGCGAAGATCGATTATGTATAAGAGGACCCCTAACCCTTTGGGAGAGGACCTAAGTTAGGAGTGCCAGGAACATTAGGGACAGGGGTCTTTTTCTGCAGGTGTATCAAACCAAACCGCTCATATTTATGATCTCGAATGCGAAGACGGGGACCTCAGTGAGGTCTCCATGGTGTTATTCCCCCAATCAGTGCTTGCACTGAAAGGGTCCTAGCGGAAATTGAAAGATTTGGCGAAAATTTCCCACCGAATTTGGTGGCTGGCTGGGTTCCCGGGTTCCCAGTTCCGGGTTCCCGGGTTCCCAGCTGGTCATTGGTTCCGGGCCGATTTCGGTGGGCTACGGGTTCCCGGGTTCCTGGGTACCCGGTCCGTCTCCTTCTCGTGATCGACCCCACCGCTCATCTCACTCAATCGATCTCACCATCGATCCCATCAAACCATCCACCGATCGGGGCTTCTCTCTGGTGTGGTAGCGTCAGGGGTCCTCTTACCCTCCATGGAAGATGGCGGCGGCGTCGATCGGCGGCGGCGGCGGGCCTCGGCCGACCCTGCGCGGGCGCCCGCCGCGAGCGCGGCGTGCAGGGGCGAGGGCTGCGTCCAGATCCTGTCCAGCAGCTCCAGCACGGCCTCGCCGAGCGCCCGGAGGCAGCTGCCGGGAGGTCTTCGCTGGAGCGGGCGGGGGGCGGTGCGGCCCGAGGCCACTCCACCGCACCGAGGCCGAACGAAGCTGGGGATGCGGCCTGGGGCTAAGCCGGGCTGTGGGGATCAGGCCGGAGTAAGCGGGTCAGTCCAGGGTAAGCCAGTTATCGACCGCGGAAATACCAGCGCCGATGCAGAACTAGATCTCCCAGGAGTTGCATCCCAGTGAGTGGAGTGACTGTCCCCAACCTCCTCATACGACGAAGCCAGGACGAGGATAAAATCGGGTGAGGATAAATCGAGAATCTCTGAGGTCCGGCGGCTTTGGAGAATGTCTCGATGTCTCGGGCGCCGCGCCCTTCTCAGAGCGTTGCAGAATGCGCTGAGGGTGTCCAGAACGCTCTGGAATGGATGTATCCCCGTCCCCAGACCCCCGACGTCATGATTTTTTCATGACGTCGACCCCAGAGGTCTGGACCCCTTCCCCGGGACCGGTTTTTCATCCTGGGTCATTTTTGACGGTCCCGAGGCCTGGCGAGGGCCCCCAGAAGCTGAAATTAAAAAAACTCCCGTCATATTTTTTCGTTACCCGAGGGGGTCTGGGTTTCGAGCCTTCCAGGATAGAAAAACGCAGCGGACATTCCTTCGCCGCGTTCGGCCTCCTGGGGCCCGCACCAGGCCCCGGGACGATCAGCAGGGAGGCTGTCCCAATCGGCGACATCGGGGATGCATCGGCGACATCGGCGATGCATTGGCGACGCCAGCGCGGAAAAAATCGGGCTCCACATCTAGGAAGGCCCCAACTATACACCAACACCGATCCTGACCAGGATCACCCTGGGTCCAGGATCGGTGCATACGCCCTTCTGCCATGGGCAGAACGCATATACCCCGATCCTGGGCCCAGGATCGGCCTGGCCAGGATCGGCGTATGTGTATAGTTGGTGCCCTCCGAACATCGAGACGCATCGGTGATGCATTGGCGATGCAGCGCGATCCGCGGCCTAGAAGCGAGGCCCACCCCGCTGCCTGCTCGCCACTGCTCCGGAGCGCGGCTGCCAGAGCGCTCCTCGCCGGGGGGGGGGGGTGCGATATGCCCGGCCTCTGCGCGCTCGCAGCAGCATGTGCTGCTCTCTCTCCTCCTCGTCGTCGTCGTCGTCACCGCCGCCGCCGCCGTCGTCGTCGTCGTCGTCGTCCTCGCCGTCGACGTCGTCGTCCTCGTCGTCGACGTCGTCGTCCTCGTCGTCGTCGTCGTCGTCGTCATTGTCGGAATCGACGTCGTCATGGCCCTCGTCGTCGTCGTCGTCGGCCTCGTCGTCGAACTCCTCGTCGCTGAATCGTCGTCGTCGTCGTCCTCCTCCTCGACGTCGTCGTCGTCGCTGGCTCGTCTTCGTCGTCCTGGTCGTCGCTGACTCGTTGTCGTCGTGGTCGCCGCCTTCGTCGTCGTCGTCGTCGCCGTCGACGTCGTCATCGTTGTCGGCCTCGTCGTCGTCGTCGGCCTCGTCGTCGTCGTCCTCGTCGCTGGCTCGTCGTCATCGTCGTCGTCGTCGACGCCATCGTCGTCTTCGTCGTCGTCTTCCTCGTCGTAGTCGTCATCGTCGTTGTCGGCCTCGTCGTCGTCGTCGTCCTCGTCGTCGTCCTCGTCGCTGGCTCATCGTTGGCCTCGTCGTCGTCGTCCTCGTCGCTGGCTCGTCGTCGTCGTCGTCGGCCTCGTCCCCGTCGTCGCCGTCGTTGTCGTTGTCGTCGTCGCCACCGTCGTCTTCGTCGTCATCGTCGTCCTTGTCGTCTTCGTCGATGGCTCGTCTTTCTCGTCGTCGCCGTCGTCTTTGTCGGCCTCGTTATCCTCGTCCTCGTAGTCGTCCTCGTCGTCGTCGACGATGGCACGTCGTCGTCGTGCCCGTCGTCGTCGTCGACCTCGTTGTCGTCGTCGTCATCGTCCTCGTCGTCGGCCTCGACGTCGTCGTCGTCGGCTCGTGATCGTCGTCGGCCTCGTCGTCGTCGTCGTCGTCGTCCTCGTCGCTGGCTCGTCTTCGTCGTCGTCATCGCTGTGCTTGTCGTCGTCGTCGTCGGCCTCGTCGTTCGCGTCATCGGCGTCTCTTGATCAACGCCGTCGTCGTCGTCCTCGTCGTCGTCGTCGCTTCCTCGTCGTCGTCGTCCACGTCGTCGTCCTCGTCCTCGTCGGCGTGGTCGACCTCGTCGTCGCCGCCGTCGTCGTCGTCGTCGTCCTCGTCGTCGTCGCCTCAGTCGTCGTCGTCCTCGTCGTCGATGTGGCCTCGTCGTCTTCGTCGTCGTCGTCATCCTCGCCGTCGTCGTCGTCCTTGTCGCTGGCGTCGCAGTCGTCGTCGTCATCGTCGTTGTCGTCGTGGTCGTCGTCCTCGTCGGTGGCTCGTCGTCGTCGTCGTCGTTCTCCTCGTCGATTCCTCGTCTTCGTCCTCGTGGTTGGCGCGTCGTCGTCGTCGTCATCGTCGTCGGCGTCGTCGTCGGCGGTGTCCTCGTCTTCGTCGTCGTCGGCCTCATCGTTGTCGTCGTCGGTCTCCTCACTGCAGTCGTCGTCGTCGTCGTCGTCGCTGGCTCGTCGTCGTCGTCGTGATCGTCGTCCTCGTCGTTGGCTGGTCGTCGTCGCCGTCGGCGCAGTCCTCGTCGCTGGCTTGGCGCCGTCGTACTCTTCTTCGTCGTCTCGTCGTCGCTGCCTCGTCGCCGTCGTCGTAGTCGTCGCCTTTTTCGTCGTCGTCGTCTTCGTCGCTGGCTCGTCGTCGTCGTCGTCCTCGTTGTCGTCAGCCTCGGCTTCGTCGTCGTCGTCGTCCTGGTCGGAGTCGTCCTCGTCATCGGCTTCGTCCATCTCGTCGTCGTAATTGTCGCCGTCGTCGGCTTCGTCGTCCTCGTCGTCGTCGGCTCGTCCTCGTCGTCGTCGTCGTCGTCCTCGTCGCTGGCTCGTCGTCGTCGTCCTCGGCGCTGGCTCGTCGCCGTCGTCGTCGTCGTCGTCCTCGTCTCTGGTTCGCGTCGTCGTCGGCCTCGCCGTCTTCGTCGTCGTCGTCCTCGTAGCCGTCGTCGTCGTCGTTGGCCTCGTCGGCCTCGTCGTCGTCATCGTCGTCCTCATCCCCGTCGCCGTTCTCCTTGTCGTCGTCGCCCTCGCCTCGTCGTCCTCGTCGTCGTCGTCGTCGTCGTCGTTGTCGCCGTCGTCTTTGGCGCTGGCTCGTCGTCGTCGTGGTCGCCGTCGTCGTCCTGGTGACTGGCTCCTCGTCTTCTTCCTCATCGTCGTCATCGTCGTCATCGTTGTCGTCGTCGTCTTCGTCGTCGTCGCCGTCGCTGGCTCGTCGTCGTCGTCCTCGTCGTCGTTGTCGTCCTCGCCGTCGTCGTCGCCGGCTCGTCGTCGTCGTCGCCCTCGTCGTCGTCGTCGTCATTGTCGTCGTCGTCGTCGTCATCGTCGTCCTCGTCGTTGTCGTCATCATCGTCCTCGTCGTCGTCGTCCTCATCGCTGGCTCGTCTTGTTCCTCGTCGATGTGTCCTCGTCGTCGTCGTTGAGGCGTCCTCGTCGTCCTCGTCGTCGTCATCGTCGTCCTCGTCGGCCTCGTCGTCGTCCTCGTCGTCGTCGTCTTCGTCGTCGGCCTCGTCGTCCTCGTCGTCGTCGTCCAAGCCCTCGTCGACGTCTTCGCCGACGTCATCTTCGTCGTCGCTGTCGCCGTCGTCCTCGGCGCTGGCTCGTCGTCGTCGTCTTCGTCGCCGTCGTCGTCCTCGTCGATGGCTCCTCGTCTTCTTCCTCATCGTCGTCGTCGTCATCGTTGTCGGCGTCGTCGTCTTCGTCGTCGTCGTCGCTGGCTCGTCGTCGTTCTCCTCGTCGTCGTCGTCGTCGCCGGCTCGTCGCCGTCGTCGGCCTCGTCCTCGTCGTCGTCGTCGTCATTGTCGTCGTCTTTCTCGTCGTTGTCGTCGTCGTCGTCGTCCTCGTAGTCGTCGTCCTCATCGATGGCTCGTCTTCGTCCTTGTCGTTGCCCTCGTCGTCGTCGTCGAGGCGGCCGTCATCGTCGTCGGGGCTCCCGCGGCCGCGTCGGTCACAACTTCGGGCACGTTTTCGGTCACAGGTTTTTTGTCGGTCACCTACCTTTTCGGCTGGTAGGGGCGGGGTGCCGTAACATATCCTGTGTCGCGCGCCAAATGAGACGCAAATAGCACTGCGGCAGACCGAGGCGCTCTTCCCAAGGAGGCAGACCGCGCGTCGGACCAGACGGCGCGGCGACACCTGTGGCCACGGACACAGAAGAGTGTCAGTGACTCGTTCTCTCTCTCTCCCTCTCTGTGTCTGTCTCTGTCCCTGTTTCTCTGTCTCTATCTTTGTCTCTGTCTCTCTCTCTCTCTCTCTCTTTCTCGCTCTTCCTCTCAGTCTGCCGCATGTCTGTGTATGTCCCAGGTTTCTGTGCCCACATGCCCACAAGTCCCCCCTGTCTACCCGATTATCCTTCCATGGACAATCACACAATTTGGGCTCTCCGTGAGTGCAGTACGCATGTTCAAAGGCATCCTCCTCCTCCTCATCCTCCTCCTCCGCGACTCTACCCTCCGCTCGATTGCCTGGCAACGTCGACGGCCACTTACCCCCAACACGGTGAGTCGGTCCTGTCCGCCGCAGCCTCCTCGGACGTGTCGCGGAAGGGCCCGAGGACGTCGTGCCGCTCGGAAGAGAGCCTGCACCGTGGAGCAGGAGGTAGGTCTGGAGGAGGAGAGGAGGAGGAGGAGGAGGAGGAGGAGGAGGAGGAGGAGGAGGAGGAGGAGGAGGAGGAGGAGGAGGAGGAGGAGGAGGAGGAGGAGGAGGAGGAGGAGGAGGGGGGAAGAGCAGTGCGGCGGCAAGGGCAGGGGGCAAAAACGACGGGGGAGAGCAGCAGGTGGATGGTGACCGTTTTTTCTGCTCCGGGTATCACCCGGGAAGGGGGGGGGGTCGGGCGGGAGGGCGGCTGCGGCTTGCACCCGCCAGGGTGAGTCCGCGCCACCGGCGCATCAATCGCCCGTGTGCACCACAGCATTTTTGTTGGGGGGGATCGAGCTCCAGCCCTGCGTACGGCCGTTAGCGTTACTTGGGGTGGGGGGGGCCCGGGTAGCGAGCGTTACCCTGGGGAGTGACAGCAAAAAACTCACATGGTGACGATGCGGGGCTGGAAGGACAGTGGCGGTGAGGGTTCGTAGGATGAGCAGCTGAGCAGCCGGCGGCGATGACGAGCAGGAGAGCCCGTGCATGGTGACGATGCTGGGCTGGAGGAGGCGAGGGGGCGCCATCCACGATGGCCTGGGCGATTTTTTTTGTTTGCCAGCTTTGCGCTGGAGGCCTCTGGGGGACCATCATAAGACAGTCCTCGTCCTTCTTATTATTTTTCCTGCTGTTCCTTTTCCTCCTCCATTTCTTCATCCTCCCCGTCTTCTTCTTCATCCTCCTCCTTCTCTCCTTCCTTCTCTGTCCGTGGCACCCCTTGCCAGGCAAGAAGTAAAGAAACCATGGTGCACAAACATGTGTTTCGCGTCAGAGGGCAAGCAGCTGCAACAAACATAGGTTTTTCAAGGTGTGTGCTAGATGTCCGTGGATCTATGCGCGCCCAGGTAGACATATCCACAAAGAAACAAGGTATGTAACATATGAAGCATCGACCTGACTACCTTTATGTCTTGCCCTGTGGCCAAAAACACAAGTTTGTTTCTTCCGGCGTTCCAGCCTCTAGCTGCGAAGTGCACCTCCAGATCAAAGCCTTGGAGATCTTTGATCCGCGGCGCCTAACTGAGCCCATCCGAAGGCTCTCTAGAGTGGTGTTGTGGCTTTTGCCTCTTCTTGCACCTCCTCCATCTCAGCATTCCACTCCTCTCCCTCATACGCGTCCTCGTCAATCGTCCTCTCCCTCTGTGTTCTTTGGCACTGTCCTCATTATCATGCGCGCTTGCTGCTGCCACTGGTTCTTCTTCCACTCATATGGAGGCGGACGAAGAGGAGGAGGAGGAGCAGGAGGAGGAGGAGGAGAAGGCAGGAAGAAGGGGTGAGAATTCTTGAGGACCCTGCGGAACCCTTAGAAGCACAAGGGTTCCGTGGGTTCATCAGAATACCGAGGAGAGGAACTACGACGGATGACTTCTTTTGGAATCCCAAGATTCGACTCAATATGATGGGGATGCGTATCTAGGGGAGACGACGGAAATACGACTTATCATTATTACGCTAGTCTCCCGAAAGAACTCGGCGGACGGATTGGAGCTCCTGGGCACTCCTATGACGTGCGTTGGGCTCCTTAGGATTACTAGGAACCCCAAGAATTCCGATGGACCCTTTGATATATTTATGATTTCTTTTAACCCCTGAGAGTCGTCAGGACCCTGGTG